ATTTGAAAAGTCACATGAACTGGTGGTATGAGAAGACTATGTGGTGGGCTAGTTTTGCACGTCCTCTCTATGAAGCTGAGAAGGCCATGATACAAAGTCCATTGATTTCTTTCTGAATTAACTTGGCCTCCTCAGTCTAAATTGGTTCTCATTCATATCTTCTGTTTTTTCCATCTTTTGCTTCGCCTTCAAGGTTCAAATCTCATGCTCTCCTTCCCAGATTTACTGGAAAGTTGTGGTGCCCTTAGGGTTGTTGATGTCAGTATGCATGCTTTGCCTGTAGTCTATATCATGTGTAAATATTGGACCCTCTAAAGCAGGGTTTCTCAACCTCAGCAATTCTAAGACATATGGAGTTCAACTCCCAGAATTCCCCAGCCAACATGTTGGCTGGGGAATTCTGGGAGTTAAAGTCCACACATCTTAAAAGTTTCTGAGGTTGAGAAACCCTGCTCTAAAGTGAATATTTCTTCCCGTATAAATCATAGTATAGGTACTGTTTCACATATGCATACAGAATACAATTGGATCTTTCTGATAGTATGCACTAGTGAAACATATATTCCTTCTAAGATTGTGCTGGTTGGCCTGTGGTTGGGATTTTTGCATTCAGTACCTTTTTTTTAGACTAACATTAAGACTACTCCAATATTGTCTCCAAAAAACCCAAACCCACAGAATTCTATAACTAGTATAAATAATGCAGATTTGCATGTATTTTGCAACTTTTCCATATTGTGTATCATTTCAAAGAATGAAGAGAAAAAGGGCAGTGAGTTAGACAGTTGCTTCCTCACTTTTGATTCCCAAGTCATCTAGCTGCTGAAACTTTGCTAGGAGCTGATGCCTGCCTTCACATCAGTAAGATGATGCTGTGTTCTGCATCCACTGTGAAATACCATGTTTGTATGGCAGCCCAAGCGCTGAGCACTACTAGCTCATAACTTTGCATGTTGAAAGGCTGGAAATCTGGTTAGTTGGCTGCCTTGTGTGGCAGATAGGTTCTTCATACAGCAGTTGTACTTTGCAATGCTGCATGCATTTTTTTGCACTCATCCATCCCTCTATAGCTTGCAGTCAGTTCTTATTCCATCTGCTTCTTGCATCTGTGAGCTGCTGATTGGTAGCACTTTGAATGCTGTGTAGTTTGGCATAGGCTTTACTCTATTAGCAATTGTTATCACTTGATGCATTCATTTATGCAGGCTGTTGCATCAAGGGAAATAGTATGGCTGTCCATGGACAACAGAGTACAGAAGGCATATTTCTTTCAGAAGTGAATGTGCATTTGTTCCTAGTCCTCATGGCATCAGAGATGATTTGAATAGGGCTCAGATAAAGTAAGGTATTTTGCCAAACTCCTGGAATGTTTCCGTGGTACCTTTCTTCCTCCATTCTTGCTTCCCCCCATTTTATTTCTTGCCCCTTCTTCTAATTCCAGAATTTAGGGGGAAATTGCAAAACATGTCAGACTTGTCTGTTTTATATTGTTTGCATATTGCTGTTAATCTTTGATGCACAATTCTGCAGGCAACTGACTGTGTGCCTTCAGAGGCTACCCTGACTGTTGCTTGAACACCCGCATCTTTTAAACCCTCAGTGATCACCATTCCATGTGTACGTTGGAAGCAAGCACAACAGAAAGATTTCTTTCAAGAGTGGAAGAAGTCAGTTTATCATTTTAGGCCAAGGTACCCTAGGAAGGAATAGGGAAAGGTATATTCTTGGATAGCCTTTTTTTAAAAGAAATTATGCAGGAATTAGAATATGTCATTCTCTTTAAAGTGCTTATTACTCTGTTCACTTTTCCTTATTAATCTGCCTTTGAGCCAGCATAGAAGAGGCACTCAAGTACATTAACAGTTTCTTAATTCGGAATACTGTAGTGCTGTTTTGGGGACATGGTGCTTAGATATGTTTATTACCATGGTGCTTATATTTATAGTCTTCTCCATCTTGGTAGTAAGGTGTGCCTGTCATTTTTCACCTCCAAGTTACATTGAGAGTTAAAAGTCAGTTATTCAGAGTGTATTTGTATTCATGTATGGTGGGAGAAAAGACTGAGCTCACGGATTACATTTAAGCCAGAATGTGGTTTGTTTGGTTTCAACTTAGTATGGTTATTTGTATTGTGTGGTGGTGAGGTTTGAGATCAATGGTTAATAGCTTAACATTATGTGTGAACCAGATTCTGGTTAAAAAATACTATGGTTTAGTGTTATGCGTGAATCTATTCTCTATATTGGTGTGGAATCCAAGGTTTAGGGCAACATTCTTCAATCTGATGTTCTACAAATGTGTTGGATTACAGCTCCCATCATCCCCAGCTGACGGGGACCATAGGTATAAAAGGGGCAAAGGATGATAGGAGCTGTGGCCAAGGCACAACAGGAAGAGACTTGGTTGCAGAAGTCTGAGTTACAGTATAGTGAAGCTGAAAAAAAAGTTCGCAGTCTTTTTCACTCTACAGATCAGGAACTATTGTGATCGATCTCATAAGAGATGACTGTGAAGGTAAATATAACAGCAGTTGCAGAACCATTTAGCATATTAAAAATTGCAATACAAAGAAATGGAAATAAAACCCCGTTTTTCCTTCTGTAGACACGGGAATGGAATACGCTGCAGTATTTTGTAACAAAATGTCAGGTACTGAAACAAGCATCTGAATTGTTTGCTGTTTGCTACCAAGCATTCAGATGCTTGCTTTGTCATCTGCATTAACTTAGAAAGTTTTTCTTTTTGAGAAATGGTGGGAGCAGGAAAGTTGTCCAGTGTGTACCAACACTGAAGTGACCACCTCTTGCTCCATTTCTTTCTCTTTCTGCCTTACATTCCATCATTGATCCACTGCACTGTAGCAAGTGAGGAACTGAGACCTCACTATATGAATGAAAGTATCTCTTTATTTCCTGTTTACTGTAACCCTTTGCAGAATGGCCCTCTCGAGCTTGCTGTTCTGCAGTCCACCCTCCCACCACCCTTACAGGCAACAACCTGTGTTCAGAAAGTGGCTTGCCATTATAGCAAGTTCAGCCTCCTCCGTCAGTGCTGCACCTCATTCTGCTTTTATAACTTCCGCTGCTCTGTGCAAGCTTTTTTAAAAAAAATTTTTCCTGCAGGTAGTTGCATTCCTGAGACAGATACACTTACTTTCAGCTAGTCATCTGCAAGTCATGCCTGCCTCTGTTCCTCTTTACGGAGAGGTGCACCACCCCATGCTACTTCTCCTGTCCCAGGGCTCTTCCTGCATTTCCTGCATGGCACGTGCATAATTGTGGCACATGCCTCAACACACAGTCAGAGAATAAGTAACGGTGTCTGGTTGGTTTGGCGCTGGAAGGATGGGAGTGGTAGCACTGCATATAATTATATACACGGATAGTTCCCAAAGGGAGTCTAGAAGAAAAGAGCATAGCCTGTTGTGTAGGATTGAAACTTTCTTCGTGTTTTTTTTTTTTAAATGGGGGAAATGATGTCCTGTTTTAGAGAAATATATTTTTTAAAAAAGAGAGAGACCCATATAAAATCATCTGATCTTGTTGTAAAGAAATTGCTGTCTAAATGGATAGGTGTAGGCTTGATTGAGGCTGTAGTCCTCTATACTAGCCTTCCCTGACTTGAGGAGGTTAGAAATTCTGGAAGTTGTATTCTCAGCCCCTCTAGAGGGCACCAGGTTGGAGAAGGCTGGTATAGTCACATATGTGGAACAGGGCTCCGCTGAACTCAGTGGGGCATATTTGAGTAGACGCATCAGATTGCACCATGGATTTTAGGACATGTATGCATGTGTTTTCATAAGGGAGAAGGTGGTGCTAGGGTGCTGAGGATCAGGGCATGAACTTCTTAGAAACCATAGGCTAGCATTTCTCAACCTTGGCAACTTTATGATAGGTGGACTTCAGCTCCCAGAATTCCCCAGCCAGCTCTGCTGGTTAAGGAATTCTGGGAGTTAGTCCACCTATCTTAAAGTTGCTAAGGTTGAGAAATGCTGCCATAGGGCCTGGAAAGCAGATAATTTGTATCTTAATGTAAGAAAGAGAATACAAGGCCTCCTGATGTACCATTCTCTGACAGTGGGTTGCATAAATGATCTAGGGATTAAGTTTGTGTCTTTTTGTTTTAATAACACAAAATGGGGGGAAATATTTGGAGGGTTTACCCGGAAATATATTTGACTGGTAGAAGGTTGAGAAGAATGGCAGTTCATGTACGAAAGTCAGAGCAGGTCTGGGCTGATTGAATTGCAATTAAAGACAGGAAGATTTCAGTGGTGCCTGTGGCTCAGGAAGCAGATTAAGCTTGAGGACGTTCTTCCGTGAGCTGTGTTTGGCTGCTGGGCTAGGCAGCTGGGTCTTCCTGTGCAAGGGGAGTAGGGGAAGGAGTGATACAGGTCAGATACTGAGGCTTTGGGAAACCAAGGCCTGGGAACCACATTTCCCATCATGCGTCATCGGTGATTACACATTCCAGTCTTCTTTCCTGCATATGTGGATTCTCTTGGGGTAAAGCAGAGAAGTCTGTCCAAGGGAAGTTATTTCTCTGAGCATTAAAAACAGGGAAAGAACGTTGCTCCGTAAGCCTGTGTGCTTCTGATTTCATTCCCATAATACTCTTCAGCCTGCAGTCTGTCTCAGTCAAAATCATGATTGTGTTCAGCTTGGAAACAGAAGGTATTGATAAGCCCATTTTACAGTTATAGAGTGATGCTTATAATTGTCCAAGGTCTAGAGAGAACATAGATGAACAGAGGATCTGAACTTTAGAATTACACTACATACTCCTTTGCACTCAAAATCAATACTTCCCAAATAATTGCCTCTCCTTCTTCCTCTGCTCTTGGTTCAGTTCACAGATCAGAATAGCAGGAAAACAAGCCTGCTCTTGATCTTTGAAGGAACTCCTTTAGTGTATTCCGTTGAGATATTGAATGTGGCACACATTAAAAGACCTCAGCTTTCTTGCCATGTCTGAAGCCTTGTTTCTCTCTCATTCAGCTTGGTGTATGGCGGATCCCGGAGCTCGCATCCAGACACGGATATTTTACACCGCCAAGCGTATGCCACTCCCCATCCTCTGCAGGGCTATGCCACAAACCATCACCCAGCAGGTATGGTGGCTGTCTTGCCATTCTCCCTGAAATCTGCATAGAGAAATGTCTTTAACCATGTCTTCTCTTCCTTCCCTCTCCTGCTCACTTTTTCATATGTCCCGTCTGTGCAGATCTGGATACGCTGATGTTATTTTGCTTTAGTTTCAGCTTCATTTTACTTACTTTGCCTTCTCTATCCCTCTTTTATTCCAAGACTAATCTCTGTATTACCAAGATACATTAATTTTTTTTAATATGCTTACCATATCTTTTCTTAACTAGAACAAAAGATGGGCTGTTGACTAGAACAGTGGCATAGGGGAAATTGAGGAAGATTAACTCCTTCTTTCATGCTTTAATTCTTCTGTTCCCCACCTAGAGCCACTGTTTACTCCTGGCATTTCTGTTTTCTGCCGTGTTGTTCTCTTTTTAACTGGCATATTTTTGAATGAAATGCTCAAACTCAGACTGCTCTGGCAGCTGGTATTGGTTAACCAAAACTGTACCTCATGTTTAAGATGTGAAAAGAAACATACTGCTGAGATAGAGAATCCTTTGGTCCTCAGTTCTTCAGGCTCTGTAAGAGCCAGATTTGGTTTTTCTGTCACACAGCCCCAGGCTTGCCCCAGTTCCTCATATGTTCTTCGTTTCTGGCTTGTCTGACTCTTCCCTCTCCTTTACCAGGCATCTGTTAGGTCAACAGCTTCTTATTTCTTCCCTTCTGTCTGCATGTGCCTGGCTTTTGACTGATTGCAACCCTCCCTTCTGCACCAAAACAAGTATTCTATGGTTGGTGTGTCTTTTGATGTCCAATGTTTGTCTTGTCTCTCTGTGGTTCCTCTGACAGGCATAACGCTTGTCTGCCTGTAGGCTCCCTTGCCTGTTCCCTGTGATGAACCTCTTCCTGTTTTCTTTTGATGTATCTATCATCTCCTTCTCACTGATTCTCAGCACTTCACATCCTTTATTTCTTCTTTTTCATTTCCTTCTTTAGGTCTTTCCGGCTTATTCGAGACTGGGCTCCATCATGCCAGCAGTGCCACCCCCGATGCCTCTGTCATGAACCTCATCTCGGCCCTGGAGTCGCGGGCACCACAACCAGGCCCTTCTGCTTCCTCCCTGCTCTCCCAGTTCCGCACCCCATCCTGGCAAACAGGTAATATCTCTGGAGCTCCGCCAGCATCACAGAAGGAAGGCTGGAAGTCTTTCACTTGGTGGCAGGGTTGGGCAAACTTTATAGGAAGGCTTATTCTATATCTTTATGGCAGAGATGTGATACAGATAGACAGACAGACAGACAGATACATACATGTAATGTGCTTGGGTGGGAGTAGCCTGTTCTTCTGGGAAATAACACTTTCTTGATACTTCTATGAAGTTACTTTATACATTGCTTAGAGTCTATTGTGATTGAAGCAAAGTTCATAATAAATAAGTAAATAAATGAATTAAGTGAAATATTGACAGCATTTGCTCAACATTATCCAGAGTCACTCTGTAGTGAGATGGGTGGTGACAAATTTGAAAAATAAACAAATAAATAATTGAATTAAACCATTTGCTGGCTTTGTATAATACACTGAATCATAAACTAATCAGATTGGCTGGGTTCACATGACATGCTAAAAATCTAAGATTAAAGTTAACCAAAGTTAGTATGCAGTGCAAATTCAGCTGCTAGGTCTTTAATTCACTTACTTAAATATGTTGTGCAAACCCAGGCATTAAGTCAGACCCTTGATCCACCTTACTTGGAAAGGCAATCTGTTGCCCTCTTTTTGTTTTGGGTTTTCTCATTCCTGGGCAGTATAGCCAGTGACAGGCTTTATGAGACTTATAGTCCAAACCAAATGGAAGGTGCCTGATTGCCTATTCTTAAACTAGACCTATTTAGTGTACTTTAACTGGCTGCAGCTTTCCGAGGTCTCAGGCAAGCATCCTCTGCTACCTTATTTAATAGACATTGCTCAGAATTAAATCTAGAATCTTCTGCATGAAAAGTGTGTGCTTTGTCACCAAGGTACGGCCTGATCATAGTTGTCCCGGCTAGACGTTATGCTTGGGGATGGGGAAACCTGTTTTGTAGTGACATGACATTAGGAAGTACGCTTTATCGACTCTTTGGTGTGCAGTGGAGGGACTTCACAGAACGCTGGACAAGACTAAAATGGGATTAGGTAGCTTGTGATTCAGCATGTTGTGAGAATTCAGCCATTGTCTTCCTATGTTGTATAAACCTGATCACTACGTTAAACCATAATATGATTTATTTGTTTGATTGTAACATGTGGCATGAAACAGCAGTTTACTTTGTTAACCTGCGGTTAGGTTAAGTGTGTTGTGCTTCCTCGTTACTATCCCGTCTAAATAGTTTAAGAAATTTGAGGTTGCCTTTGGGGATGAGCTTTTAATTTGGTACTTTGTACCGAAGCCCCTAAACAGATACTCTGTTTTTCCTTTGCAGCCATGCACACGCCGGCGCCCGCTGAGCTCTTCATCTCAGGGGCCCTCCCAGGCTCCGGCACCTTCCCTTCCTCATCGGCGCTCTCTGCTTACCAGCATCCGGCCTCTTTCAGCGGGCGCAGCTTCCCGGTCACTTCATCCCTGACTCTCCAGGATGCCACTTTCAGCCCAACGTCCAATGGCCTGCTGTCCCCCCATGATCCCCTGCTTCACATCAAATCCTCTCAGCCCAGCGTCCCTTCGTCCCTCAGCTTTGACCGGCTGGGCAGTGCGGTACTGGGTACGGGCTTGCCCTCTCAGAGCTCAGCGTACCGTAGTGCTCAAGAGTCAGCTTCCCGTCACCTCCCCTCCCAGTTCAACCTGTTGTCATCCTCGCTGGGGCCATCTGACCAGACATCCCAGCTCTACAACACCTCAGTCTTCTCCAGTTCCCCTGCCTCCTCCATTGAGCGGGCCATCCCCCGGCAAGATAGCGTGATCAAACATTACCAGAGACCTTCCAGTGCCCAGCCACAGCTGCCTGCCGCCCATTCTCTCCAACATTATCTGAGCTGCGGGGGCAGTTACCAGCAGATGCCCCACCGCTCCAGCCTTTCATGCAGTCCCTTGGGTGAGCAGTCCCCCGCCAGCAGCGAAGGCTCTCAGCAGCAGAAGACTCCCCAGGCCACGCGGCAAGAGCCCTCTCAAAGCTACCGTCCCATTATTCAGTCTCCTGGCTATTCTGGTACCACTTCGTCTTCAAAATCCAAGAGTTACTCAGCCTCCCGCCAGCCTCCCCGTTCTACAGCCACGCCCAAGTGCCAAAGCAACTACAGTTCATCCACACCCAAGCCCAGCTCTGTCATTGCAAGCCAGTCACAGGCCTATTCGCCTGGTCAGCCTCAGAGTCTCCTTTCCATGAGCCAAACACAGAGTTACTCTGTCAGCCAGCCCCAAAATCTCTCTTCAGTTAGCCAGGCCTCACAAGGCTTCAGCAGCAACCAGGCCCAGGACCTCACGAGTGTGAGTAAAGCTCAGAGTTATTCGACCAGCGGGCAGGCTCAGCAGGGCCAAGCTGGGCAGGGAGGGCAAGGACTGCAGACTTGTCAAAATCAGACTTACTCTCCTGAGCAGCTGCAAGGCTTGTCATCTGTTGGGTACAGTGTTCAGGCTGAGCCCCATGTCTCTGTCAGCCAGACACCGAGCTATGTACCGGCTCATTCGCAAGGGATGCCCACAGCTAGCCCATCGTTGAGTTACAGCACCGGCCACTCTCCAGCTATGCCAGGGCACAGCCAGTCCATCGGCTACTCCCATGGGCAGAACCTTCCAGATTCGAGTCCTTCCCAGATCATCCGGCCTCTCCAGTCACCGACCACTAACCGGCCCCAGAGCGTGGCATCGCCTGGCCAGTCTCAGAAGTATCTCACTTCTGTACTGTCTCCTTCATTCATGCAGACGGCTCACACGCAAAGCTACCAGGGTTCCCAGGGTGGGTTAGAGAGAGCATCGTCTTACAGTAAAGCCAAGGCTGACTCGGATCTGCTGTCATCTGAGCGGACTGAAGATGAAGAGTTCTTGATCCAGCACTTGCTGCAGTCGCAGAGCCCACCAAGAGTGCCCACAGAAGGCATGGTAGAATGTGAGGAGAGGGCAGGGAAAGGGATGGGCTATGAGTTAAGCAAGACTGAAGAGCGATATCACTTGCAGAGCGTGATTCGGACCAACTCTAATCTGGACAACCAGGGCCTGGAGATGTCCTTGCAAAGCTTAAAAGACAAGAAGAAAGGAGAGAGGTCCAAAGAGTACCCTCACACACGCTCAACTCCAGAGTCTTTGGCCACTTCTGTGGTCCATTACAGCCATCAAGCTGGCTCTATAGACTCTTATGGGCAAGACATAAAGAAGTCAGTGGAGCAGCACCTCCAGGGTGGCCACATGGATGCAGGTGGCAAGGAAATATCTCAGGCCCATTCTTATTTGCAGAAGACTCCTGAGCATGCCTCTCAGCCTCATCCCATGGAGTCCCATGGATTGATGGCTGGCCAGCAGGGTGCTACCCTGATGTTGGACTCTCCTCCTGATTTGCCCCCTCTTTCCCTTTCCCAGCAGCAGCAGCAGCAACAGCAGCAGTCCCAGCTGCTCCAGTCGGTGCTCACTCACACCCAAAGCCAGATGCACTCTCGTGGGAAGGTTCGCACCCCACTGGATGTCCATCTTATGGAGCCTCAGCGCATGCATCAGGCTGAAGCGCCCTCGCCACAGCTTCAGATGCAGGCATTGGAAGCCCACCTCCACCAGGCCCACGTTCGTTCCCAGAGCATGGAAGCACAGCTTCTTGAGCCACAGCAGTCCCCTCAGCTCCAAGGCCAGCTGCAGCCAGAAAGGATGCAGTCTGAGGGCATGGAGGTGATGCCCCAAGGCAACCTTTCCCAGTCCCAAGAGATCCAGGACTTCTTAGAGCCCGAGCTGAGCTTGGAATCCCACCTGGGACAGAGTGGGGCAGTGCAGAGTCAACAGCATCTCCTTCCTGATTCCAGTTTGGACCCCGACTCCTCTCAGCAAGTTCCTCAAGGCCAACTTGAGGGCAAGGACCAGTTTGAGAGCCCCAGCCCTCAAGGAGCCAAGCAGCGGTTTGTTCCCCTCACCTCCATCTGCTTCCCAGACTCTTTGTTACAAGATGAAGACCGTAGCTTCTTCCCTGGAATGGAGGACATGTTTGGCCCCCCTCCCTGTGCCGGGGATGAGTTCCCTAAGCCAGATGATGGCACGCAGGGCATGGAGAGGGGTGAAGGAATGAAAGGGGGAGGCTATGATATGATGCCTGGTGGGCAAGGCTACCAGAGCTACTGTCAATCAGAAAGTGGGGATGGGCAGCACTTGGGGTTAGACACAGTGTCAGTGAAACACGAGTTGCCTTCTACAGTCAACACAGAACAACTGGGACTGATTCAATCTGGCCAACATGGGACAGCTCCGGTTTCAGAATCCAAGTCAGGCCTGACATCACCAATCTTCTGTTCTTCCAAGCCCAAGAAGCTGTTGAAGACTTCCTCCTTCCATTTGCTGAAAAAACGGGAACCACCTTTCCAACCTCCCAAAAAGAACTATGCCCAGGAGTATGAATTTGAAGACGATGAGGACAAGGAGGATGTCCCAGCTGACATCCGCCTCAATAGCCGCCGCCTGCCTGATCTGCTGCCTGACCTCATTTCCAGCTGCCGGACAAACCGGACCAGCCTTAGCCCCATGGGCGACATAGACTTTTGCCCACCAAACAGCGGCCTCATGGAGGGGCCCAAGCGGCGAGGCCGCAAGCCCACCAAGCCTAAGCGGGAGGGTCCGCCCCGCCCCCGTGGGAGGCCCCGCATCCGGCCCCTGACTGAACCGCCTCACGGTGTGGCTCACGATGGCACCAAGAAGCCCCGTGGCCGGGGAAGAGGGAGGGGCAAGAAAGCCGGGGAGGAGGGGGTTGAGCCAGGCCCAGGCTTGGAATCCCTCAAACCACTCAAGGTAAGCTGGGAATGCAAGGAAGTGAGAGTAGCACATTGTTTAAGTAGCAATGCCTAGGTGTAAAAAAGGAAATTTTGGAAAAAGCATAGGGTAGAATGAACAGAAGTAGAAGACTGACTTAGTACAGGTAGTTCTTGACTTGCGACCATTCGAAGTTACGAATGCGTTGAAAAAAGTGGCAACTGGTGCCCGAAATTACAGCTGTTGCAGCACCCCCACAGTCATGTGATCAAAATTTGGGTACTTGGCAGCCTGCCCGCACTTATGACTGCAGAGGCGCTTCAGCTCCCTTCACCCGCCTATCTACCCCCATCTATGCCCTTTTGCCCCCCTGCTGCCCTGTGCTCGGCCACCCCAGCTGACCTCCGCTGTCTTCTTGCTTTAGCTGCTGA